CTGTGTCCCGTCTCGTGTTTTCCATTTTAAACCTGATTGTCACAAACTTCTTTGGCTGGCGGAAGGCACATCAAATGAGTTGGCAGAGAATAATCATTTCTAAAAAAATTGTTAGTGGTTGTTTTTCCTACAAACTTTTTGCTGGGGTCTCAGTCATGCTTAAACCAGCCTAAACTAGTTATGCGTTTTAGCAGGTAGTGTTGCATGATTAATCAAAATAAAGGCAAAGTCGCAATATGGATAGTATGAATTATTAAATCGCAAAAGCTGTGATTTAATTAAAAAAGCATTGTGTGTTTCAGAGTGAAGCGCAGCATTGTGTTTGTTCTTTTACACACTAACAGCTTGTGTTTTGACTGTCATAGAGCAGCTTGGTTTGAGGTAAATGCTGCTCTACACAAACTCATCTGTGCATCTGCTCTGGAGTTTGGGTTGGTTGTAACATGGATTTGGGAACGCAACATATGCTAACCGTTTTCCTATATTTGTAATGAGAAGCGTTTATAAACCGACTGTTGTCAACAAAAGAGAACCTAGAATATTCAACTTAGGTCAGCTGTAAATATTAGCTATACAAATTATTTGAAATAAAAATGATGATGATTATTATTACTATTACCATTATTATTATTATTATTATTATTATTATTATTAAATACTCATTTTTATTCTACAGTGAAAAAAATTTCTTATTTTATTATTATCTTACAATTATATTGATATTTAATCACACATTTTTAAATAAATAAATAACATGATTAATCACATAGATTTTAAATCGCAATCACAACATTTTTTGATAAACTGACTGTTGTCAACAAAAGAGAACATCCACCTTGGGCCAGCTAAATATTAGTTATACAAATTATTTTATATAAAAATTAAAAAGCATTATTATTATTATTATTATTATTATTATTAAATACTCAATTTTTATTTTACGGTGAAAAATATTTCTTATTTTATTTTTATCTTATAATTATATTGATATATAATCACACATTTTTAAATCAATCAATCAATCACATGATTGATCACATATCATTTCAATGATTTTAAATCATGCAACCACATTTTTTTGCGGAAAAACTTTTACATAAAATGTTGCTGACTTTTTTTGGGGGGGGGGGCAATTGTCAACTGGTCAGGCTGGGAGACCAGGTGGCTAACCATCTTAACATCAGTTTGAAATCTCTTTGAAATTCTGATCTCTAGATATTACCTGAGTCTCTCTTTCAATATACTGTACAGTGTAAGTGAGTGAGTGAGTGACGTGACATGTGGCCAAGTATGTACCCATACTCGGAATTAGTGCTCTGCATTTATCCCATCCAAAGTGCACACACACAGCAGTGAACACACACATGGAGCAGTGGGCAGCCATTTTTTTGCTGCGGCGCCCGGGGAGCAGTTGGGGGTTTGGTGCCTTGCTCAAGGGCACCTCAGTCGTGGTATTGAAGGTGGGAGAGAGCGCTGTACATTCACTCCCCCCACCTACAATTCCTACTGGTACGAGACTCGAACCCGCAACCTTTTGGGTTACGAGTCCGACTCTCTAACCATTAGGCCACGACTTCCCCACGACTTAAGTAAATGGGCTTTCACCTGTTCTATTATCCAAAATTATAAGTCCAATCACTTACAAAGGTAATTGCACACCTCTCTCAGCAGGCCACCGGATTTGAGGTATCATTCACATCTGTAGCATAAATGGTTATGCGCTAAAGTTTGAATAATAGTAATTTTGCCTCAGCAAACACCACTAATGATGCCGTTTGCCGGGTTGTTCTGGAATAGATGCAGAAAATCTGCACGTGTGCACAAACTCACACCTGGTTATGGGTGTGAAAAGGTTTCTGAGAAGCTTCCTTGGATTTGGTGTGTGTGGTGTATGTGTGTGTGTGTGTGTACGCCGTTCCCTCGAGTCTCCACCGTGCCTGGTGTGCCTCTTAATAGCATTTGATTTTCTCCAGTGTGCAGACGTGAATCAAAGAAGCCATTTTCCTCCAGTTTCAGAAGTACAGTTTCATCCATGTGTTTTTCTCCATGACAAATCCAACGGTATTAAAAATAATCCAACAGGAGCCATATATTAATGCCATTCTATATTCTTAACCACTCTAATAGCTGATATTAGCTGGTGCGGGATGGGTTTCCTGTTGCGTGTTGTGACCACTCGCTCGAGCTGCTGTTTACTCAGAGATTCTCGCATTTGCCCTCACTCGCGGCTGATGTGTTTTTGCTCGGCTCACATGCTAAGGGGGTGCTTTGGCTCAGGTCATGGATTTCCTTTCAGGTAATATTGGAGGCAAACATCAGGGCCTCTGAGTCTGTCTATGTCTGACGGCGGCGGATGTCTGTTAGGGCTGAGTTTCTCAGGGATCTGGGCTGTAAGCTAACTCACTTAAAGCTGAAGTGTATACTTTCTGCTCCACTAGCATCACTAAATGCAATTGCAAAAAGAAAGATTGTTTATCAAAATGAAAATTCCCTGGTATTGGGATTGACTGCTAAAATGTTGTTAGTGTGACTATTCAAGAACACTATTCTGCTTCCGATAATATCAGTATTATTGATATTATGGGCAGGCAATTGATGATTGGTGACAGTTTGATTCATGTAAATTAATCATTTCTGATACTGAATTTTAAGTTAGAGTTGCTATTATAGGAGTAGTTCACCCAAAAATGAAAATTGGCTGAAAATTTACTCAACCTTAGGCCATCCACGTTGTGGATGAGTTTGTTACTTAATCAGAACACATTTGGAGAACCGTAGCTCATCAGGATCCTCTGCAGTGAATAGGTGCCATTAGACAGTGAGCCCAAACGCCTGATATGTGGATTACTTGTGGATTATTGTAATGTTTTATCAGCTGTACGGCACCCATTCAGTGCAGAGGATCCAGGTGAGCGAGTGATGTAATGCTAAATTTCTCCATATCTGTTGTGATGAAGAAACATCATTAAAATGTTCCCTTTAGGAAACTTAATGGCCAAAAAGCACATTATATTCGTAATGTTGCATAATTTTGTTATAGAATTGCATGTTTCTTGAAAGTACTGTATCATCCAACACTAACAGTTAATGTACTTAAAAACAAACAAACAAATGTTTGCTGCAATTAGGGCAAAAGCTATGCATGCTGGCACTCTAAGTGGACAAGAACATCAAGAGTTTAATGGGATGTGAAAAAAAAAAAAAACTCTTGTGTTGTTGTGAATGCACAGAGGAGCTCTGAGAAAAGAATCTGACCAGCTTTCTGAACTCTAGTTCTGGATGAATACTGTTGTTTGTGCCGGGGGCGATTCTTGGATCGGGGACTCAAGCCCCCTACATGAATGTGAGACTTTGTGGCTCTAAGAAGTAGTTTTCTTTTCAGCACGAGAGATCACAAGTACAAATCTTGCTTGATGGAAAATTGTTTTAATAAATTAATTGAACCTGCCAAACAATGGTTTGGTTGCACTTCATACTGTGATTTGAGAAGAGTACTGGAGTACTGGGCAGTGTATTGATGTTTATGATGTATTGATGTCTTGTGATTTGAAATAGTTCACCCCAAAATGAAATTTCTGTCATCGTTTACTCACCCTCAAGTTGTTACAAACATATACAAGTTAATTTCCTCTATTAAACACAAAAGAAGATATTTCGAAGAGTGTTGGTAACCAAATAGTTGCCAGTAGCCATTGAATTCTATAGTATTTTTTCCCATACTATGGAAGTCAATGGCTACCATCAAGTGTTTGGTTACCAACATTCTTCAAAATATCTTCTTTTTGACTCAACAGAACAAAGAAACTCATACATGTTTGGAACAGCTTGAGGATGAGCAAATGATGACAGAAATTTCATTTTTGGGTGGACTATCCCTTTAACATGCGTGTTTAAGATGTGTATTGTAATAAAATACAATAATTCTATTTTTAATTCAAATGTATCAACTTATTTAGAAATCATTTGAGACACTCAATACTCTACGAAAATATGTTTTTTAGTGAATTGTTTGCATAAACTGTCAGAAATGTTCCTGGAAGCCCTTGCATGGAATTTTTCATTTATTAAAATGTTTGTTTGTTTATATATTTACTATTTTGGTGCATTTACACAGTTTTAATAGCGGCAGTACTGATTGACATGACGATGGCAAATTTTCAGGTTTGATTCAGCATTTCATTTGCATTTTTCTAATGAAATGCAGCATTTGTTTTAAAGAAGAGATCAGTTCAGTATTTTTATGATGTACAGGTTATATACATGGAGAGACTAGTTCGACTACTTTCAGGATTTCTTATTTCTTTCTTTTTGCAAGGTCATGCAGCTGCAAGCCTGAACATTTATAATGAATCACAGGCGATTCCAGGCTTTATTTAAGGGTGCTTAAGCCCCAGTCTTTCCTATTAGTCCCCTTAGAAATCTTAGGTTAAGCTGGCTCTCCGGTGAATGTTTTCTCAAATAATGGCTCTTAAATAATGTTATCCATTCCAGTGAAAATGCATATTTTAGGAACATTCATTTTATTTAAAAACATTGTCCGGACCTTTGTTGGGAGGGAAATGCAGAGCCTGGACCTCATGGAACGTTAATTGAATAGCGCCTGGATGGGAGTTCGTGCTCTGTGAGGACTTATTATTTTGTGTTTTTCTGCAGGGATTCTAAAGGAGTTGAAATAATTTGTAACACATTGAAGCATAAAATGAAGTGTAATTATCTTGGAGGAGAGGCGAGAACTCAGCCAACCATACATTAACACATGCTGAAATTATGACCTTCACATTCTTACATAATCAGCTTCTCATACACAGATATTTATGAGCCAAGAGAGGACGCTAATGAATCTGTACAGAATAAGGATTTACGACTATTATTTATTCATGGGGAAATCATAATTATTATTATGCATATCTATTACTTGAACTTTTATATAGCATGGGTTGGTCAATCTCCCATCATGCACCTTGAAACCTTAGCTTTTCTTGTCAATCTCTTTCTGTCAGGTACCGTTCTTGTGGAAAACATGCAGATCAACGGTCGGGCTCAGGATCCAGATAGAACCATCTCCTTGACGCTGCTGGACAACTATGATTATTGGGTTATCCTTGACCCTGCGCTGCAGAGACTGTATCTCAACAGCACCGGACGAGTGTTGGACCGAGACGTGAGTCAACAAACACGCACATTCTGTCAGAAATAACATATTGCTGCTGTTGTCCTTTGGCTGGCACAAACGGATACATGTATTTATATGGCAGTCTGCCTGAAGGCTCTAAGACAAACAAAAGCGCTACAGTAAATTCTGTCCCGATTGGCAGCAAACCAGCACGCATCACTGTAATGAGATCATGACAGCCACACAGAACTGCTACATTTTCTTAATCAGTATTTTACTCTTTCCAGTAACATATTTTAACATCCTTAAATCAAGATAAATATACTTATGCAAAATTGCATGAGATAATAAAGTCACCATGAAATCAAAATGGACTATTCTGGTTTTTAATGGACTATAATGGAATATCAAAGTGTTTATTATAAACGATTTATCTGTGCACATCATTCATTTTTTAAACTTCATGCGCCCTAGTAATCTTTAAGCAAAGAATGGCTTGCAACAACATCTCTTCTGTTCTCTGACGTCATGTTTATCGGTGGGAAGGTGGAACAGTCTATCACTTATTAGGGAAGAAATGATGATCTCAACATCCGTTTCATGCTAACTTAAAGAATTTTCAGAGAATATATCTTAAAGATTTTCATTTGCGTAGCAAAATCTCTTCTTGTTTGCTTATTTTAGCTATTAATTATCTTTTAGATTGTTGTTATTATTATTATTATATAAATTAATGATAATATAATTATCATTTTATATATATAGTTATATATAATGATAATTTATATATGTAATTTAATTGTATATAGTAAATATAACAAAATGAAGGAGGTATATGAAAATAAAATAATTTGAATTTGAAAATGTCATTTGTGTAAGAAAATCTCTTCTTTGCTTATTTTACTTATTAATTATTTTTTCGATTATTATTATTATTATTATTCATTTATTTTTTGCTTTAGTTTAAATATTTTTTTTTTAATTTAGTGAGGTTTTTGCGTGATGATTTGTGTAAAAATGTTTTTCAAAAGTTTGATTCTTAATTACATTTATTGTATTTTACAGATATGTAGATATACTGTTAATTATAATAATTAGGTAATCAGTCAGATAATAATGATCCTTTCTATTATTATTATTATTTTGTTGTTGTTGGTATTGTTTTAACCAGAAACCAAGACCAAAACATTTGTATATAAAGTTTTTGACTGCATTTTATGTATTTACAGTCACTTCAGATTCATACAATGTGAGCAGATAGGATTGTCTGAGACTTTATCTTTATTAAGATGTGCTTTTTATAAGGTTTTTGGCTGTATTCGACTGTGCTTGAAGTGCAATGTACTGTTCTACAGTACAAGAACAGCCAAGTCAAAAGGCAGGAGGTTTTACTCCTACAGCCGCAATACGAGCATTGCGATTTCTCCTATTTCCTTTTTCCACAAGTGCTTCATCTCCTCTCTCTTATACTGTCTGTCTGTACATTACACCAATCTTCTATAAAGAGGCTTGCTAGCCCCACACATGTGTGCTTGTCTGAGAAGCATTGTGTTAGTGACAGGCCTTTTATAACACTATTGGATAGTGATTACAGGACATACCCTCCTCTTCCTCCTCCTCGTCCTCTTTACGAGGCTTTGTGGGATTCAGGCACTTCATTCAACAGCTCCACTGTTTATTTTATTCAGAGTACTTGAGGCCAAACACCTTATTTATCCAAAAGAGAATGAGCAGACTTGACATTAATCCTGTTTGCATTGTTACGTTATGTAATCTTGTGCATTCACACATCCAGGCTGATTGGCTGCATTGTTAATGCACTTTACTACTGCTGGATACCCTAATGTTATTGATCACTGGCCATAGCTTTTAAAAATATCACAAATGGTTAGTATTACGATATGTTACCTTGAATAAATGTTGCCATGAAAGTATGTTTTCAGCTGTCACGTCTCATCTGTAGGGGCCTTGTTTCATGATTCATGTTTTGCTTTGTACTAATGCAGTCAAATACAATTATTTTTGTTGTACAAATGTATGTTTACTTCATGTTCATTAAACCCCTGTATATGTGCTTTCTTCCAGCCGCCCAGTTACATCACCACCATCGTGGTTCAGGTTCAGTGCACCAATGAGCTGGTGGGAACAGTTATTCTGCACGAAGTACGGATAGTGGTGAGGGACAGAAATGACAACACGCCTCGTTTCCAGCAGCCTCGTTACTATGTATCAGTTAATGAGGTGAGGCCTGATCACTTATGCACTGCCTCATTTACTTTGTGTCTCTGTCTCTGTCAATTCAGTTTCAATTGAATGTGCATGGTATGCAAATTTTGTGAGGTGAGTACTGTGTCTGACAATGCAGTGTGACCAATGAACCAGTAAGTAATTACAAAAAAAGTTTTTAAATGTTATTTTATTTTATTTTTGGAAGGAAATTAATGCTTTTGTTCAGCAATGATGCATTATTATGATTAATTTATTTAAATGTATGCATTTAAATATTACATTTATAATATTACAAAAGATGTATATTTCAGATAAATGATTTTCTTTTGAGATTTCTATTCATCAAAGAATTCTGCAAAAAAAGTATATATATAATTGTAAATGTAAAATAATACAAATGTGTTTATTAAGATATGTTTCTTAAGCACCAAATCAGCATATTAGAATGATTTCTGAAGGATGCTGTTATAAACTAAATTTTGCTGGTTATTAGAAACTGACAGAAAGCCTTTCGATATGTCCCACTCACTCTTTCAATAAGAAATACATCAAGAAAACTGCACTCATGAATGAATAGAGAGCAGAAAGTGAAGCCGACACATATGAAGTCATTGTATAGTCTGTTGACGTGCTCCATCAGTTATTCAGATCTAAAACCATCCCCTTTTGGCTTCGGCTCAAAATTATTCTTAAAATTATGCACGCACACACACGCTTGACCCTCTTCTCCACAAGTGCAGATATGAGGACTATTTTTAAACTTAATGGCTTTCATTTATTTGGAATACGTTTGAATATGTTCCGTGAGCGTGTATGTGTTGGGTGTGTAAAAGCTTGGCTTCTTTATGCTTGTCAATCTCTTTCCTCTCCTTGAAGTCAAATATGCGGTCATCCTTTTCTTCCTGCCTTTCTCCTCCTGTACATTCAAAACGAGAGAGAGAAATACAGTGAAGTGATGAAGTTAAGGGGGTGCGGGGTAGGAAGGGGAAAGTATCAGGTGGTATTTGCATTTGGGGGCGGATGTGATCACGTGAGTTGCTTTTGATCCAAAAGGCTGTGACTTGGTTCATGGGTTTTCTGGGTGATTTGGAGCCCCAGAGGCAGACTGGTCTTGTATGTGTGGGAGGAGAGAGGTTTCACGTGTGAATTTCAGTCCTCAAGAGATGCTGACATCGAGCTCAGAATTCCAAGCAAGATGAGATTAGCACTAGATTGTCAGGTTGTTTTCCAAAAATCCTTTTGGCTTCATGCCTGATGCGGGAAAGAGTCTGCAACAGTGTCTTCAATTATTCAATCTACCATGCTTTAACATTGGCTCGTTGTGTTTTTGATGTTCTCCAGCACAGAGAAAATTGCAAGGGCCATTGTACAATTGTGGTCACAGAAAGACTTTCAAATGGCTTAAAAAGGTTATTTTTAGAAAAAAGACTTGGTTTAAAACTGTTTTAGTATGAAATATTTTTTCTGTATTTTCACTTATAATTTTGAAAGTCTCGATATATGCATTTAAAAATATATACAATATATTTTTATTGCTAAAAATAGCTAAATATTTGTTGTAAAATACATTTGACAAATTGAAATAATATAATATAAAAATATTATATATATAGAAATTATATATATATATATATACATACATATATATATATACATTAATAGATAGATAGATAGATAGATAGACAGATAGATAGATAGATAGAT